GGACCTTGGGGGCCTGGGACATGCAACTCGGTGAGGGGGTGGGTCAGGGGCAATCATGCAGTTGGTGGTTCGAATCTCACTTTTAGGTGAATTTTTCATTTTTGTTTGGATTATTTTATTTAAAATAATGTCTATTTTAGAGTAATGGATATGTTTTGTTAAAGTGCACATAAGATGGGTTTGGGAACTTTTGGATATGTGTAGCCAATGGTTACTATATCAACTTTACGGCAAGTTCACACCAATCTGATTGAAATTAATTCAGTTATCTTCACTCAAAGTCGTAAAAATGGACCGCCCGTGAAAACGACTTTGCCAATTATCGAAAACACTCTTAATCCCCTCAGACGCCAGTGACGTCACAGTGACCAAATGCATATTCGGAATGTTTATTCCTTAATTACCTATATAGAGCCGGCGTGTGTACTCATTAACGCCTGACTGACTCCTTAATCTCCCTTAGTTCTTAATTAAATAAAACAATTGACTACGGAATAATTCGTTTTGTAATTCATTTTAATTTAAGATCCAATTTAGATTGCCTACAACTTTTAAACTTTGAAGTCTTGAACTCTTAATTAATTTTTTACAATATGGAACTTATTGGACGAACACTTTTAATATGTAAATAATATACCGGTCCAGCTATGTGTTTTTTACTGCGAGCACTTCGCTTTTCCACATAAAGTGTAGTGTCGTTAATATTTGTCATTAATTAATCCGACTATAAAAGTTACACAGGCATGGGACATAAATTACACGTCTGTGTTAGCAGTGAGTGTTAGTGGGATTAAGAATGTTGATTAGGTAATTATCTTTTTTTACGCCGGCCAGATCAAAGACATCACTCTAAGTGGAACGTGTGCATAATACCTCATGAACGAACTAATGGTAGAATCGTACACCCACACATTAATTGTATAAAATCATTAAGTTTTACTCATCAGTTGTTTATAATTATTATTTACCCAATAATTATTGCTCACCAGTGTTTTTGTAATCAAGTAGGCTCGTATTATTTGTTGATTGGCGTTTAAACAACAATCATTTATCTTCTTTTTAATAAAAGTATTTTACAATTGCATTGACAGTTTAATCACTCACCAAACGGCACCAGGAACTCCACGTATGATCCATGCAATTTTCGTGCCGAAGTTTAACCTCATTTACTACACCCGTAATACATGTAACCGTAAATGGTAATAAGATTCCCAGCGTTGATTGGCTGAGAAATGAGGGCGATCTATTGTACATGTTATGCATAGTCATCGGAAAATTCCATATTCACTGTAAATTTCAAATGGAGTAACGATAAAAGTTGTTCTTTATGCATAGAAATGGTTATTATTATTATTATTATATATATATTGTATTGTATAGATAATGTATATCCTATGTGTAGTGCCTGTGACGTCACCAGCCAATCAACCGGATTAAGGTCGTAATTGAAAAATTGAAAAGCGTTTTGGCGTGTCGGACACTTAAACGTTAACAGCCTACTTAATTTTAATCAGATTGGTGAGAAGTTGCTGTAAAGTTGATATAGTAACCATGGGCTATACGTACATGTAATTTAGATTTTTGATCTTACGTGGTCTTTAAGATCATTTCATTGAGCACGTCGATACTCCTATGGAAGCTCGTGGACAACATCGGAAGCCAGTTCCCATGATGCCAGATAGACCATGAACGATTACAGGCCTTTTAATGTATTTTTTCGAAACATTTTTATACCAGCGGCTGCCAGGCAGGATACGGCCACATTTTCGAGAGATGGATAGAGAACAAGCTAAAACCAAAGTGATTTTTCCTACAATCAAGGGCCATAATTCAGGAAATTACAATTCGATATGCACAAATATCGAAAGGAACCAAGATCTTTGGGTTATAAACTTACATTTCAAGTTTCAACAAAATCGGATAAAAATAGTGACTTCTATAGGGTCCACAACCTTGATATACCATATTTTTTTTACGCTATTTGGGAACGAGGGGCGGACATTTTGTCTGTCAGTTTTGGGCCGATTTTCACGAAATTCGAACTCAGCCGTCCTTAGGGTGTAACGGTGGTATAATAATACGTTTTTTTAAATCAGATAAAAATTATGACCTCTATAGGGTCCACAAGCTAAAAACATGATTTTTCGTACAATCAGGGGCCATAATTCAGGAAGTTACTGTCCGATATGCGCAAATATCGAAAGGAACCAAGATCTTTTGGTTATAAACTTACATTTCAAGTTTCAACAAAACCGGATAAAAATTGTGACCTCTATAGGGTCCACAAGCTAAAAACGTGATTTTTCGTACAAACAGGGGCCATAATCCATGAAGTTTCGATCCGATACATGCCAATATCGAAATCAGCCGAGATCTTTTGGAGATAAACCTATATTTCAAGTTTCGTCAAAATCGGATAAGAATTGTGACCTATAGAGTGTCCACATACAAATTGTGGAGGGACGGGCGTCCGGATGGACAGGGGCGACGACAATATATGTCCACATTAAAATGTGGGCGTACAAAAATGTTATTTTTTTTTTATCTACTACGGTTAATTATCTCAAAAATAGGGAAATTACAGGTTAATTTCATGGGTTATAGTTTCCTTTACCTAGTTTTTGTCCAGTCGATTCATGTCACTTTTATGTTTTGTATCAAATATTGGGAGGTTGCTTGTTCACAAGAACATAATTTTTTTTAAATCCACCCCATGAAAGAAGTAGCTATAGGGCGTCAAACTTTGGGTAACAAAAAATGGGGAATTTAGATAGGCTTCGATATCCAGTCCGTATACATACCTTGTTCGCCAGAATCGTTTGAAATTAATTTTGTGGTGACAGCACTAGGTCATCTACAAACTGTGTGAGTTTGGTCTTTTTGCCACGTATAGTAAAGGCGTGAGGACTTGGTATTTGAGAAAAGATGGATTTTGTCAATTTCACCATATAAAATATGTTTTTTCAATTTTCTTAGTCAGGAATTGAAAGATTTATCTGATATTGCATATTAATGTGTTTTGGGACTATCCCAACTTAAAAACCAAATTTGGTCAAAATTTGTGATTGAAGCCATAGCACCTTCTGCCTGGTATTCTTGCGGACACGCTCTTAAAGCCATTGAACATCCATTGAGGGATTTTGAATCCCTAACAAACTGCACTGTTGCTAAATCTCTAAAACGAATATCGGTCCAAAAACGGTTCAAATTAGTTTGATATCTTCGGCATACTCTAGAGAGCCATATTTTAGTGTTCGATCAAAATTTTGACTGCACATTTTTAAGAGTAAACAATAAAAAGGGGGAACCCTCGGGACTACATCTTATCGTTAATGCCATCCGATGTGAATGTTCTTAAAGTGTGAATCCATTTGAATTCATTGGCTTTCCTTACGGCATCGTTTTTGCCATTATCTGGGTCAGTCTTAAAAAGCTCTATTATTTTAATCATAACATTTCTAATCGTATGTCTATCTAAGTTGAAGTGTAGTGCGACCGGCTTTGGCCTGTTGTGTCTAATATCTGCATAGTTTTCCTTTATTCGTTTTGAAAAGGCACGCTTGCTTTCTCCTACATATTGTTTTTTTGCAGGAGCATTTAGGATTAATCCTAATTTGAAGGATACACTGATGAAAGCAAGACTCATCTATCCACCACGGAACCCACAAACCAGCGGAGTCACGGTTCAAAATCTATTTGAAAAATGTATCAAGAAGGATTGTGATATCTGATACAAATTAGACCAAAATAACTACTTTATTAGTGGTATAACTGGCAAGAAATATTCCTGCCGCATGGGCTATAACTGCTTAAGAAGAAATATAGTCTACCTATTAACATGCTCCTAAACAATACGTAGGAGAAAGCAAACGGAGGTAAAATATGACAGATTGCCTTGTCCTATACCATTTCCAACCATGAGTAACTGGGAGGCTTTTTATGAAGGAGTTGATCTTTGTCTCGAACTAGAGGCCTGGCCAGTTTTTCGCACATTGAATCACGATGATTTGGCAAAATCAAACATCAGTAAAGAAGACTGGGTATTTTTACAATGTTTCAATCGAGAAATGCTAAAACAATCTTGTGAGCTCCTTGTTGAATTCAAGAAAGATTTTTCTAGAGCCACTTTTCAAAGTATGCGAAATAGTAGCATAATTCTTAGCCTAACTCAAGGCAGAATATGAAAAACAGGGACGAGTTCTCAATTAATTTAGCCGTGGTACCCCCACGGGGAAAAGTAATAAAAAATTAGTGCATACACGCCCATAACCTAATAGACTTATTTTTAAGCCCTCATTAGTTTAGAAAACTTTAAACTTAGAGTTCAAAAGGGTTAGGAGCCTTGAGTCAATGCAAATAAGCATAATCATGACGGCAAATTCTTAGCGGAATATCTTTGCACATTCTGTGACGTCACATGTGCTCCGGTGCCCATCGACACTATATATAAATGGCTACCGCACATCCTCATTTAAGCCTGAAGAGTTCGAATAAGAACGAAACTAGTAGCTGAGAGAAATCTGGGAAGGCTGTTCGCCTATTTACAGATTTTTTTACTGCACATTTTTAATTCGATTGAGTTTGAGCCAAGAGATTCCCTACCTTTGATATTTTGGTTTTGTTTTCTTAGCCAAATGTTAAATAATCAATTTGAGTCATATTAGCATGAATTAAGTCATGAAAAATTGGATATAGTCCAAAAAATGAAAATGATGATCTGTGGCTTTAACTATGAAAAATCGGACTGGATTAAGTAAATTCAAATTGTTTTGAAACTACAGGTTTAACAAGTAATATTTTAAATATGTCTAAATGTAATATTTACACTAGGGGGATTTTTTAGTAGCAAAAGCATAAGCCAAGATGTCTGCCACACACTAGTCAGAAAGAAAATACTAGACATATAAAACAAAGAATAAGGGTGCTGAATTGATTGTGAAATAAAGAAAACTGTTGTTAGTTCAAACTACACCACACCACAGCCGCAAACAGTTTCTTACGTTTTCGTTTTAGTCTATCTAACGTTCGTTCTCTATCTATAGTTCTATCTTTGCCAGAATCCCCTGAAATAGCAAATTGACGCTTAAATATGATTTTAAATCAAATCAAATCAAACGAAACAAAAACAGCACCGTTAGCAACAAAAACATACAAGCAGTTGCCAGGCAAGATAGGCCCACATTTTGCAAGTGATGGATAGAGAACAAGCTAAAATCAAAAGCGATTTTCAGTACAATCAGGGGCCACAATTCAGAAAGTTACAGTCTGAAATGCGCAAATATCAAAAGAGAACAAGCTAAAAAACAAAAAAACAAAAAAAAAAACGATTTTCCGTACAATCAAGGGCCATAATCCAGGAAGTTAAGGTCTGAAATGCGCGAATATTGAAATGGACTGAGATATTTGGGTTATAAAGATATATTTTAAGTTTCATCAATATCTGATAACCAGCGGCTGCCAGGCAGGATACGCCCACATTTTGCATGAGATGTATAGAGAACAAGGTAAACAAAGATAGGTTGCCAGGCAACGAAACATACGCCCACAGCAGCTGAATCGCCCGAGCGGTCGACAAGGGTTGTCACATATTTATTCCTTTGTAGGTAATTGGGGGCCTTTACAAGACAGTTCCATACAGATCAGATTATAATTTTTACCGTTTGAGGGTTCACAAGGTTCTACAAATTGAAACAAGGGTCTCAACTCTGGAAGTAATCTACAGAAATTGTTGAAATTTGACAGGCTTTTTCGTTTCACAAATTTAAATGATGCATATAAATTTCATACATATCGGATGATAACTTTCATCAATCGAGCATTAACAAGGTTGAACAAAGTAAAACAAGGGCAATCACTCTAGAAGTAATAAACGGAAATTGCTGAAATTCAATAGGATTCTTCTCTTTATTAATTTAAATGACGCATGTAAATTTCATACAGATCGGCAGATAACTTTTGATGTTAGAGCATTCACAAAGTTCAATCAAGTGAAACAAGGGCCATAACTCTTAGACGTAATCAACAGAAATTGCTGAAATTCAATAAGCTTCTTTGTTTCTCTTATTTAAATAATGCATATAAATTTCAGAAAGATCGGATGATAACTTTTGCCGTTAGAGTATTCACAAGGTTCAATAAAGTGAAATAAGAGCCATAACTCTAGACGTAATACACAGAAATTGCTGAAATTCAATAGGCTTCTTCGTTTCACTAATTTAAATAATGCATATAAATTTCAGAAAGATAGGATGATAACTTTTGGGGTTAGAGCGTTCACAAGGTTAAACAAAGTGAAACAAGGGCCATAAAAGGCTTCGTCGTTTCCCTAATTTAAATATTGCATATAAATTTCACAAAGATCGGATGTTAACTTTTGGCATTAGAGCATTCACAAGGTTCAACAAAGTGAAGCAAGGGCCATAACTCTAGACGTTATAAACGGAAATTATTGAAATTAAATAGGCTTCTTCGTTTCACTAATTTAAATAATGCATATAAATTTCAGAAAGATAGGATGATAACTTTTGGGGTTAGAGCGTTCACATTGTTAACCAAAGTGATACAAGGGCCATAACTCTAGAAGTAATAAATTGAAATCGCTGAAATTCAATAGGCTTCTTCGTTTCCCTAATTTAATTATTGCATATAAATTTCACAAAGATCGGATGTTAACTTTTGGCATTAGAGCGTTCACAAGGTTCAACAAAGTGAAACAGGGGCCATAACTCTAGAAGTTATAAACGGAAATTATTGAAATGTAAAAAACATATATCAATTTTAAAACAATTGGATGATAACTTTTGGCGTTAGAGCGTTCACAAGAAATGTGGCCGTATAAAAAGTGATTTTTCGTACAATCAGGGGCCATAATTATGGAAGTTACGGTCCGATATGTGTGAATATCGAAAGGAACCAAGATCTTTGGGTTATAAACTTACATTTCAAGTTTCAACAAAATCGGATAAAAATTGTGACCTCTAGAGGGTCCACACCCTTGATATACCATATTTATACGCTATTTGAGAACGAGGGTCGGACATTTTTTTTTTTTTTTTAAATCAGTTAAAAATTATGACCACTATAGCATCCACAAGCTAAAAACGTGATTTTGTGTACAATCAGGGGCCATAATTCAGGAATTTACGATCAGATATGCGCGAATATCACAAGGAACCGAGATCTTTGGGTTATAAACTTATATTTCAAGTTTCAACAAAATCGGATAAAAATTGTGACCTCTAGAGGGTCCACAACCTTGATATACCATATTTTTATGCTATTTCGAACGAGGGACGGCCATTTTGTCTGTCAGTTTTGGCCCGATTTTCATGAAATTCGAACTCAACCCTTCTTAGGGTGTAACAGTGATATACTAAAACATTTTTTTTAAATCGGATAAAAATTATGCCCTCTATAGGGTCAACAAGCTAAAAACATGATTTTTCGTACAATCAGGGGCCATAATTCAGGAAATTACGATCTGATAGGTGCGAATATCGAAAGGAACCGAGATCTTTGGGTTATGAACTTATATTTCAAGTTTCAACAAAATTGGATAAAAATTGTGACCTCTATAGGGTCCACAAGCTAAAAACATGATTTTTCGTACAATCGGGGCCAATATCGAAAGCAACCAAGATCTTCTGGAGATAAACCTATATTTCAAGTTTCGTCAGAATCGGATAAGAATTGTCACCTGTAGAGTGTCCACAAACAATTGTGGACGGACGGACGGATATCCGGACGGGCAGGGGCGACGACAATATACGTCCACATGAAAGAGATGGATAGAGAACACGCTAAAAACAAATAATAATCCAGAAAATTATGGTCTGAAATGCGCAAATATCAAAAGGGACAGATCTTTGGGATATAAAGATATGTTTTAAGTTTCATCAGAATAGGATAAAATTTGTGACCTCTAGAGGGTCCTCAACCTTTGTGTTGCATACTTTTACACAATTTGCATACAAAGAGCGGCCATTTTGTCTTGCAGTTTAAACCAAATCGGATAAAAATTGTGACCTCTACAGTGTTCACAAGCTAAAAACGTGATTTTTCGTACAATCAGGGGCCATAATCCATACAGTCCGATACATGCCAATATCGAAAGGAAATGAGATCTTAGGGTGATAAACCTATATTTCAAGTTTCATTGAAATCGGATAACCAACGGCTGCCAGGCAGGATATGCCCACATTTTGCAACAGATGGATAGAGAAAAAGCTATCAATCGGGGTTATAAACATGCATTTCAAATTTCATCAAAATCAGATGACAATTGTGACCTCCTGAGGGTCCATAACCCTGATACACAATATTTTGACACTATTTGCGAACGAGGGACGTCCATTTTGTCCGTCAGTTTCGGTCCGATTTTTACGAAATTCAAACTCAACCATCCTTAGTGTGTAATGGTGATATATTCAAACGTTTTTTTAAATCGGATAAAAATTGTGACCTTTATGAGGTCCCCAAGCTAAAAACATGATTTTTCGTATAATCAGGGGCCTTAATTAAGGAAGTTATGGTCCGATATGTGCGAATATCGAAAGGAACCGAGATCTTTGGGATATTAACATACATTTCAAGTTTAAACCAAATTGGATAAAAATTATGACCTCTACAGTGTTCACAAGCTAAAAACATGATTTTTTGTACAATCAGAGGCCATAATCCATGAAGTTACAGTTCGATACATGCCAATATCGCAGGGAACCAAGATCTTAGGGTGATAAACCTATATTTCAAGTTTCATTGAAATCGGATAAAAATTGCGACCTTTAGACTGTTCACAAACATGAAAATGTGGGTGTATAAAAAGCCCACCGCCTCGATCCGATACATGCCAATATCGAAAGGAACCGAGATCTTGGGGAGATAAACCTATATTTCAAGTTTCGTTGAAATCGGATAAGAATTGTGACCTGTAGAGTGTTCACAAACAATTGTGGATGGACGGACAGGGGCGACGACAATATACGTCCACATGAAAATATGGGCGTATAAAAATTGTGGACAGACGGACGGACCATAATCAAGGAAGTTATGATCCGATGTGTGCAAATATCGAAAGGAACGAAGATCTTTGGGTTATAAACATACATTTTAAGTTTCCTCAAAATCGGCACAAAACTGTAACCTCCAGAGGGTCCACAACCTTGATATACCCGATGTTTACATTATTAGCGTACGAGGGACAGCCATTTTGTCTGGCAGTTTTGGTCCGATTTTCACGAAATTCGAACTCAACCTTCATTACGTTGTAGCGGTGATATAATCAAACGTTTTTTTTAAATTGGATAATAATTGTGACCTTCAGAAGGATCACAATATAAAAGATAGGTTGCCAGGCAACAAAACATACGCCCACAGCAGCTATATCGCCCTGGCAGTCAACAAGAGTTGTCGCATATTTTTACTTTTTCGGAAATGAAACATTTATAATACATTAAAATCTGATTAAGAGTAACAACTCATTAAGTAATTATCAGAAAACAATGATGCATATGAATTTCATACAGATTAGGTGATAACTTTTGTTGTTCAGCGTTCTCAAGATTCAACAAAGTTAAAAAAGGGCCATAACTCTAGATGTAATTAACAGAAATTTGCTGAAACTCAATAGGCTTGTTCCTTATACTAATTTAAACATATAAATTTCATACAGATCGGATAATAACTTTTGTCGTTAGAGCTTTCACAAGGTACAACAAAGTGAAACAAGGGCCATAACTCACAGCGTAATTAACGGAAATTGCTGAAATTCGATAGGCTTCTTCGTTGCACTAATTTAAATGCCAGATATCAATTAGAAACAGATCGGATGATAAGTGTTGTCATTAGAGCGTTCACACGAATCAACAAAGTGAAACAAGGGCCATAACTCTAGATGTAATTAACGGAAATTGCTGAAATTCAATAGGCTTCTTTGTTTTACTAATTGAAATGATGCATATAAATTTCATACAGATCGGATAATAACTTTTGTTGTTAGAGCGTTCACAAGATACAACAAAGTGAAACAAGGGCCATAACTCACAGCGTAATTAACGGAAATTGC